TGTTTTCAAACTAATATATCTATCAAGAGAATTAACCAGTTTTATTTGTTGACTAGAATAAACAAAATTCATATTTTGAGAATTAGATAAAGTTAATCTTTTTGGAGGCATTTTATTTAGAAGCAATAAAAGAATAAAATATTTGATGAGATGAGTGTGAGTGCAAAAATTAGATGGTTGGAAATGTAAGAATATATATTATTTTTAATTTATTAATGATAAGGTTAATTTATAATAGAAGTTTTATTTTTAAAGTTGATTACAAGAGTTTAGTTATTAAGTAAAATTCTTGATTCATGACTTATTTATAATAATTTCAACTATATATGCAGCCTAAAGTATTTTGACACTGTCATAAAGGGGGGCTACACATGTAATAAAAGGGTGTTACAGTTATGTTTTTAATAATGAATGCCGTAATTATTTTCTACTTCCTACTATCAAAATTGGAATAATTTTGATCATCTAAACCACCAAACCAATTTGGATTGCATGTATAATTTCAACTACATAAGCTTTTTTGTCTGCATTCTTGTACTTTTGTTTTAATAACCTTTGTATCTATTAAAAAGAAAGAATTCTTTATTTCCCTGTTACTTAATAAAAATGAACAATTCTTTATCCACCTCTTACAAAATAATTCTGTCATACTTACACACCCCTACAAAAGTATTGACTCACTTGATTATCCGCCAAAATAATCGAATAAACGGGTAATACAAATACTCGTTTTTTTACTAAGCAAATCGATGTTGTGTATTAGTAAGAAAATGTTTGTTGAAATGATTAACATAATAATCTAAAATATCACATTGGGCCAATTGTTATTGATAATTATATGATGTTTAAAAGTTGAATTAAAATTTTTTGAAAATTTTTTGAAAAAGTAGCACTTAGAGCTATTTTAAGATACAATGTTTTAACACATCTTGGGAACTTAGAAAATGTTGCTTCATTTATTCTCAAATATATATATATACATGTTCATAATTATTGATCGAATATTCATACAAAACATAAAAAAAATCGTAATGAATTTTTTATGCAAGACAATTATCATTATGCGTGAACAAACTTTAAAGGGCAATTACTGCTGAAATATCTAACCAAAACTAGATTTTTTTTTTAAAAAAAAAAGATTGAACTTTCAATTTGTTATTTCAATTAAAACATCATGTCTCAATTAACAGACTTTGAATAATTGGACATTGGGAAGCAGATGAAAGCGTTTGTGACATTGCTGGTGCACTCAATCATTCTCAGTCACAAGTAACTCATGCAATAAAAGCAAGTGTTGGAGAAATATTATGTACATTTGAAAGAAAATATGCCTTAGAAATCGATGGTAATTTTTTCTCATTCATATTTTGGATTATGAGAAGTTTTAATATTTAAAAATATTATATAATACCGTTATGTTAAAGGATATTGGAGATATGTAGATCTAGAATATTTACTTCAATTATATGAAGCAATAAATTTACAGGCTGGAATTTATCTAGGAAATTTTGAAGTTATCAAATTATCTGAAATTTCAAAAATTATAAGTGATTATGGATTTCCTGATTTTTTGATAAGACATTGTCTTTCAATGTTATCAGAATCAAAATGTGAAAATGAATTAGGTGAGATTAATAGTATCTATTATATGCATTTTTTGTCAATTATTTTTTCAATAAATATATTTTAATCATCCATTTTTTGTTTATAATAAAGATCCAATTTTCATATTATCACCTTCAAAAGTTAGTAGATTTGTTGCCATAGTTCTATTAGATACGCATAATGTAAGTATTTTTATTGGTGATATTATTATCATTATGTTGCTAATTTAAAGATATTCTTTATTGCATAGAAAAACAACTTGCTTTTAAATGATTTTATGAAAGAATGGAGATTAAAAGTTCCAAGTAAATTTGAAATTGGTCTGGATACAATCAATGTAAATATATATATAATATATATAATATATATATGTTAATAATGTTTATAATAATTAATATATTCATAATCTATTTTTTAGGATTGTGTCTTAATTGGTAATTTGGAAGATTTGGAAACCTTTTCAGATTCTTGGTTGTCAGAATGGGTTTCTTTCTTTTTCTATTGAAGGGAACATATTAAATGAATATTAATAGAAATTTGCTCAGAAAATTTTTTATTTTATTTTTACCTTTTTAGTAGTGGTGGTGGTAGTAATGGCTTCCTTCTTCTTCTTCTTTGGTTTTTCAGATGATTCTTTATTCGCCTTTTTTTTTGATGTTTTTTTAGAAGCCTTTTCCGCTTTTTCAAGAGATTTGGAATTTGTTGATTTTGTGGAAGGTTTTGTCTTAGATTTCACAATCTATCAATTAATCCATATAAATTAATTATAATTAATATTTATTATAATATATATTGACAATAATGAGAGCGATTAAGATCTTACTTTTGATGATTTCTTTGAACTACTCGATTTTTCTGATAAAATTTTAGCTTGTCTTTCTACTAATAATTTTTTTACTCTTTCAACCTCTTTGATCCTTGATTCTTCAGGGCTAGCGTAAACAGTTATTTGTGGTAATTTTTCGTCTTCGCCCAACGGAGTAGATAAATCTACGTTTGCTATACCAGAAAAATCTACATCCAATATTCCACCAGCTTTGATACTTTTACTGTTGTTCCAGATTTTTTGTTCAAATATTTCTTTAGTAGTATCTTTTTCATCATCTGAAATGGTCGCATTTTCTGGCATTTCACCAATATCTGTGTAGATAACAACCGGTGTTGTGGTTAGTGATGCTGATGTTTGTGGTTTTTTTTGTGACGTTGATAGTGATGTTGTCGATCGATTTTGATCTTTTTTATTTCCTTTTTTGGTTTTCTTGGATTTGGACTTTTTAGGTATTGCTAATTATATTATAGTTAAAAAAACAAGAGATATTATTTATTTATTTATCATTTATAAATTGGAAAAAGATTTTATATAATAAACAAAGCTTACATTTAAAATCAAATTCATCCATTGTCAAACGTACTACAGGTATTAAATCCACGTCAATATTTTCACTCTTACTATGAGATGATGTTAATGTATTTGATTTTGATTTTTTTATTGAACCAACATTATCAACTTCAATATAGTATGGATCATTTTTATTTCTTTCTTTACGCTCCTTACGACGCTTTAAAGGTTTATTATTAATTCATTATGAATATGAATAAAAATAAAATAATAATTGATAATTATTAATATTAATAATAATAATAAATAATTTAAATAGTTACCTTTTCAAGAAGTTCCTTACTTTCTTCACTTTCATTAACAGTTTTTTTACCATTTTTTCTTACTCTTCTTCTACCAAAAGCTGTATCATTTCCGCTCGAAAATATCAAGTCACCACTTCCACCAAGCTTTTGACCATAACCATGCCCATAACTTTCCTCCAATTGCTCTTCACTTGAATCACTGTCTGTGTCTGGCAATGGTTCATTAATCCAAGTATCTAAATCAAGTCCCTCGGGTATAGGAACTTTCTTTTGGGCTTTAGGAGCTACAGGGTTAAGTTCATACGAAAAAAAAAGTTCGGAAAGTTCCGTTATGACACTTGGTGCTTTATTTTCAAAAGAATAGATATTTGTTTGCTCAGTTGAGTAATCCTCAGTTGTCATCAATTGTTGATGAATTATAGAGAATATTTCTCGAACGTTGTATGCCTAATAATAATTATAATTAAAATTATTAAGTCTTATATGCATACGTATACGTTTATGTACACATTCTTTGATTAATTACCCTTTCTTGAACTTCTAAATCAGTGCAAGAACAAAACACCCCTGTTTTCTCTTTTAAAAAAGTAGTAAACTCGATCAATTCACTCTTTGTAGTCTCATTCCAATTATAAATTAAATTATTGGACCAATATGAATAAATCTTCAATATTGCATGAACATAGACAGCCTGAACATTATGTGGAAGTTTAGTAACACCAGGTTGAATAAGATGTTTTATAGTTTCTTGTGGATTTTCTAAATAACTATTTTTAATAACATTAATAATAATGTCATTATTATTGTTATTATGAATTAAATGACATATAATGAATGAGTTTTAGTTCAATAAAAATAAAATATTTACCTGCTATATTCACCAACAATCCATGCTGCTGCATAAAGTACTTCGGAATTTGAATCAGGTAATTTACAATTTTCTATCATTTTTGAATCTGACAATAAATTTTGCTATTTTAAAAAATAAACGACTAAAGTTATAATAATAATAATTATGTATCAAAATTTATTGTTAAAGAATATAATAAAAATAAATATACCATTGCTTTTACGCAATAATCCCTAGAACTTTTAACGCGAACACCAATATCCATCATTTGTAATGTCAACATATCTCCAACTTTTACTCCAGCTATTTTTGTAATATCTATTAAGACTGCAATATACCATTCAAAACTTGTAATATTACTATAAGAGTTTTGTGAACATATGTAAATAATACGAGTTATAATATCAGCTCGATAAGCAGGCTCAAGTAATGTAGTAGGAGATGAATGAAGATTTAAAATTGAGGAATTGTTGTTATTTGGCGGTAAAAGATGTGACATTAATCTTTTAACAATATCTGTAAGATTTCTTTTGTTAACCTTTTTAAAATCGATAATTATTTTTTTTAAAAAGAAAATTAAAAACTGAATAAAATTTAAAAATATGAAAATTACTATATAAAAAATTTTACCATTCCAACAACCAAATCCAAAGCTCTCAATCGTATACTAATATCGGGATCATCAATCAATTTTAAAATAATATCTCGATGTTCAGAAACAAGCCTTGTATGAGTTGGAAGAATTTTAGCCAATGCCAAAAGCCCAACATATTTCACTATCAAATACCAACATACCATTCGGGTTAAAAGATATAATTAATTATTATTGAGAGGAAGAGGGGAAATAGAAAACAAAGGATACAATTTTGATCAGCATCTTCTAGAAATGTTATCAATTTAGATACACACATAGCGGCCAGAGAATCTGAATTAGTGCCGGCTAAATTTAACATTCCACCAGTAATTGCTGTATGAATGCATTCATATAGTAATGACATAGCAGATGTTGTTTGTATTTGAATTGTTATTGGGGACAAAAGTTTCTTAGCAAGTCTTGGTTCAAGTGGTGTCAATGCGCCAAACTAATAATGAATTAACCGTAAATTAATGAATGTTATAATTCTATAATAATAGTTTTATAAAATACAAATATATATATTTTTTAATATACAAACCAGCTTAATAATTTTAATTAGCATCCAATTATTCTGCGATGAGCTTAATAATCTGAATAGTTGAGGTGCTAGTGATAAATAATTTTTAGGATTTTTTCTTGCTAGTTCACAAATCACATTAACAACAGCACACACAACAGCTTTTACAATCAAAAAAAAATTTTTTGATACAAATAAATATATTTAATAATAATAATAATAATAATAATACAAATATAGTAGAGTTTTGAACTCCAGTAACTACTTACATGGATCAGGATCATCCAATTTTTCTTTTAATCTTGGAAAACTAATTCTCAATGCCTCAGGAAATCTCAGGAAAATTTTATAAAGCACAAGAACTACTTTTTTTCTAATATAAGGCCTAGAATGGTTAAGCATAGAAACCAAGTCTTGACATAGATCACGTGCAAGATCTGGAGTTACTAAATGTGAGAGTCCATTAAGAGCTACACCAACTTCAAGATGATTTCCAGAGGCTAAATCCTATTTTTTTTTTACGATAAATATTATTTTAAATATCTATTTATCTATTTATAATTGAAATTTGATGGATAATTGAATAATTAATAAATACTTTTTTCAATAAATTAGTTGTCAACATTAATACATCGGTGTCTTGACGAAAAGATTGTGCAGCTGCTAAATATCCTGTTCTTTTTTGTGTAAATTTTGGTGAAGACATTACCTCAACAACATGAAAAGATGCCCAAGACATGTCATAGCCCAACATTTGAAGCTATAAGTAATAATAAAATATTCATTTTTTAATAAAAATAAATGCTTTTAATAAGTTATAAAAGTATGTTTTATTATTATTGATCATACATAGGTTAATTTTGAAATAGCCATTGCTTTCACATCAGGATCATTACATTTAACTTCTTGATGTATTTCTTGTAAACAGGTTGCAATGTATTTTTGTTCATGTTTCTTATTCGCTCTTATTCCACGAATTAAATCAGTTAAATTTTTTTCAAACATGATCTAAAGTTTATTAAATAAATAAAAGATCATTCAACATCTAATAACAAGAGAAAATAGTTGTACAAATTTAATGATAACGTGAACTTCTTACCTATAAAGGAAATAAGATTACCACTTGGAGAAAGATCACCTAATTTAAAAACTCAGCACATGATTAACATCAAACAAATAAATTTATAAAAAAAATTATGTCTTCTTCATATAATAAGATAGGAAAACTTTTGGGTTGGCTAAGTTTTTTGGCTTTATTCCATTCAACTTATTCAACTTATGAACGTATGTTGAAATTGTTGTATTTTAAGATTTAAGATTATTAAGATTATATACTTTAAGAAATTCTTAAATTTTTTCCTGTTTAGATCTTTCTTACTTAAAAGCCGTGGAGAAAGTTCCAAACGATGTACCAATTGAAGTATGTATAAATTTTAAATAATTTGCTTAAAAATGATTAAAAAATACTTGAGGTAAAATTAATAATTAATAATTATTAATTGTTAATTGTTTAAATATGTAGATTATAATTGAATGTCTTTTGTCAGTAGTAACGTTTTCCGTTAGTGTAGTAATGATAGCAGGACCTTTAAAACCCATATTAATGAAGAATGAAATGGCAACAAAGTATGAAAAAATTAAAATAATATATAACTTCATTATTCATTCTCTATTTTCTATAATGATAATATATCAAAATAATATTAATAATATTTATTTTATAGAACAATTGATAAAATTGATAATCGTCCTTCGTTTAATAACTTTAATCATCGTGGAAGAATAATAAAAATATAAAATAACAATAGCTACAAAAATAAATACATTAATTAATATGAAATGTTACTCATCAGAACTACTACTTCCATGTTTAAGAAATTCTGATAGACGCACTGGTGTGCCTCCGGTATGATCTTCTTCGTGAACTTTATGTTTATGTTTCTTTTTTATTTTAAATAAATCAATTGGTGATAATTATAGTGTAAATATATAATACATAAATATTATGATATATTGTCGTACCTTATGAGAAGAACCACGATCACGATGATGATGATGATGATGACGATGATGATGACGAGTTTTATCATCTTTACATTTCTCCTCATCTGAAATTACTGATGAACTTTGAGAATCTAAACTAACGCTTCTTGTTGACTTGGAATGTTTACTATGTTTAAGGTTTCGATCTTTATGATGGTCGTGATGATGATGTTTATGCTAGATACACACACATAAGTATAACGATCTTTTGTATACAATAATAATAGTAATAATAATAATAATAATACCTTTAAATCGCTGTCATTATCATGTCCTTCCTTTTCATTATTATTATCATCGTCACCATCATATTCATCATTACCACTGTTTCCTTCATTTCCACTATGGCTTTTAGATTCACTCCTTTTTCTTTTACTCCCATGATGATGATGGTGATGTTTTTTATTTTTTTTTTTATTAGACTCCCCCACTTTAAATCCTTTCAATCTGGCCTCTCTTTCTTCGTCTAATTTCTGTCTATATTTTATAAGGTCATGTTCTGAAAATTGTGGCCCATCATGTTCTGTTTTGAGTTTACGAAATTCGTCCCTCGAAGTAAAAATAATTTTTTGCAAACCAAATATTTAATATTTGCATTAGGGACAAAAAGTAAGCGAAAGTCTCGTATATGGTATAATAGCTTTATTTGTATATAGTACTGAAAACAAAAAAAAAAGAAACTTAATAATGAAACTTTACCAGCTCATGCTAGCTTTTTTACGAGCATCTATATATTCTCGAATTGTTCCTCCTCGATCAGTATTTGACATTTTATTTATTATTATTATAAAGATTTAAATGTGTAAATCATGTGATTTTTAAAGTAAAAGATCTATATAGGGGTAAGGATGTTACACACCAAGATTTCATCAGGCCATTTTCACCAAGTTCACAAAACCAAAAGATCTAAAAAGTTTTGGTTCCTCGAAGTGAAAGAGAAGTAGTGGTCAAGATTTTTCACAACTAAAATTTTATTTTTTTCAAAAAGTTTTTTTCTAATTACAACAAGTTTCATTTCAATTAAACATTATTTTTTTTTGCTAACACCTCTTCTTTAAATGATGTGCCGGCCTTCAAGTGTTGCAATAACAGAGGTACTATGGGTTCCCAAACATGAGAGTTGATGATAGATTTATTAGATTATTATTGTTGTTGTTATCATTACTGACCTACATTATCATTTCACGTGACTTATAATTTAATTTTTTATTCAATATTAATATCAAATTCTGTCAACAAGAATTGATGTTTTGCTTTATCTACAGAACTATTTAAACGTTTTATTAATTCAGTGAAATACTTAAAATCTTTTTTTGTAGCAAATTCTTGTTGTCATAAAGAATCTTTTTGCAGTTTCAAATGCTTTTCTTCCTCCTTCTATAGAAACAATAGATTCAGTTTTATGAATTTATAAATTTTATTGAAATTTTATTTTTATAAAAGAATGTGTACATATTATGCCTAAGTCAAAACCAAGTTCTTTTATACATGCAAAAAAGATTACTTTGTCACAACTGTGAAAAAAGGATATTTTTTATATTGTTAAAAGAAATCAGCCATCTTTCTTTTTGGTTAAAGGAATCAACCAAGTTGCCACCAAAAAAAAAAAGAATAATTGATAATTATTTTTTTGTTGTTAAAGGAATCAACCGACTCACCACCAAAAAAGAGAGAATAATTTATAATTAATTTCTTTGTTGTTAAAGGAATTAACCAACTCACCATCAATAATTTTATAATTTCTTTCTTGTTAAAAACCATTGCTATTAAATATATTAATATTAAAAAAAACGTTAGGTTACACTTGTATATCATTTACAAATAAGGTTAAAATTGGGGATAGGGATATAACCAATGGAATATAAACGAGGTAAAGGTTATATTAAAATAATATAGGGAAATCCGTCACAACTCTCATGACCTTCGTCGTTTACCATTGTTTCATTATCATTATCATCGTCATCATTTATGATCAATGTAAATACCTTTTTTCCACGTGATAAACGCTTATCATGCAATCTTTTCCAACCGAAGAGAACTGTTTGGGAAGAATAAATTTTGTCTATTTTACATTTTTAAGAAGAGCTATTTAATTTCAACAATTGAGTCAATTATTGTTTTTGTTATCATATATATGCTATAAGAATTTTTTTTTGTGATGACGAAGCATCTTTTTCTTCGTTTAATATTTAAGAAAAGCGTTGATTTGTTTACTTTTTAAGAAAAGCATCATTCGTTTAATTAATTAATTGACCGAGTTGATAATTTGTTTATTACTAAAAACAAAGTGCTATGCATTTAACTAATTGACAATTGAATTGATTATTCAAGAAAAGCATTATGCATTTAATTGATCAATTGACAATTGAATTGATTATTTGTTTATTACTGAAAATGCTTCATAGATCTTGACTAACACTTACTTCGATCAAATCCGCCTATATAATTATTGAATAATTGATAAAGCGTTCATTAAATATATTTTACAAACAGCCTCATAGATCTTGACTTTAACAATTGCTTCGATCAAACCCGCCTATATGATTATTGAATAATTGATAAACATTCGTTTTGCATGCTTCGTAGATCTTGACTAACACTTACTTAGATCAAGCCTGCCTATATGATCATTAAACTGAATATGTTTTCACGAAAAACCCTTATTCGAATATTCACATTAATTAGCATATTCGAAATTGGTGTCAAATAATTTTTATATATTCGAATATCCATAACACTTTCGGATATCGTAACACCTTCGAATATCGTAATACTTTCGAATATCGTAACACTTTCAAATATCGTAATACTTTCGAATATCGTAACACTTTCGAATATCGTAACACTTTCGAATATCCGTAACACTTTCGAATATCTGTGTAATAAATAATAATTAAATCATGATAAATGTAACGATTTATGGAAATAAATAAGAAAGTCTAAACATTATAGTCAAACAAATTATTTATTTTTAAGTTTAGAAAAATTTGGATTGATGAGATTATCTGTATTTTTTATTATTTTTAAGAAATGAAATTTTTGTGTGTAAAAAAGTATTTAATTCGTTTTTTACAATCTATAACACTTTCAATATCCATAATATTTATTTGTAATACATATTTGTTGATAAAATTTCCTCAATTAAAAATGTCTTTGGTAAATGATAACAATAGCATTATTTTAATTAATGATAGAGAAGAAATAATTTCTAATTTTTCGTCAGAAGAGTCCATTGCTAATGATAGACCACCAAATAGAAAAAAATACACAAAACATGGAAGACCTAGAGGAAGCTATATCTGGGATCATTTTATTGATGAAGGAGATGAATGAATTTGTCAAGTAAAAGTGCCCCTTTCTCTGGAGCATCCAAATGGATTATGTGGCAAAAGATTACCAAATGTATCAAGTACTAGTAATTCAATAAGCCATTTATTAAAATTTCACAGTATACTTCCACCCACAGAACAACAAAAAGTATATTAATATAT